TGAGTTACAGGGAGAGGCTGAACAGGCTGGGGCTTTTTTCCCTGGAGCATTGAAGGCTGAGGAGTGACCTTATAGAGGTGTATAAAATCGTGAGGGATATGGATAGGGTGAATAGCCAAGGTCTTTTTCCCAGGATAGGGGAATCAAAACCTAGAGGGCATAGGTTTAAAGGTGAAAGGGGAAAGATTTAAAAGGGGCCTGAGGGGCACCTTTTTCACACAGAAGGCGGTACGTGTATGGAACGAGCTCTCAGAGGAGGTGTTTGAGGTGGATACAATTACAACATTTAAAAGGCATCTGAATGGGTACATGAATAGGAAGGGATTAGAGCTATATGGGCCAAATGGTCTTATGGTAATCGAAGGGCTTGTTTCCATGCTGTATATCTCTATGACTCCATGACTCTATATGCCCCCGGTTTTGAACTCACCTACCCTAGGGAAGACTGTTAATATTCACTTTATCTACGCCCCTCATGATTTTATAAACTTCCATAATGTCACCCCTCATTCCCCTACACTCAAGTGAAAAGTCCCAGTCTTTCCAGCCTATCTTTACATCCCAAACCCTCCATTCCCAGCCACGTCCTGGTAAATCTTTTCTGAACCCTCTCTAGTTTAATAATATCCTTCCTATAACAGGGCAACCAGAAATGCGCACAGCACTCCAGAAGATGCCTCACCAATGTGCTGTACAACCTCAACATGACATCCCAACTCCTATACTCAAACATCTGAGCAATGAAGGCAAGCTTGCTAAATGCCTTCTTAACCACCCTGTCTACCTGTGACACAAATTTCAAAGAATTATGTACGTGAACCCCTAGGTCTCTCTGTTCTATGACACTACCCAGGACCCTATCATTAATTGTATAAGTCCTGTCTTTGTTTGTATTACCAAAATACGTGTGTAATTGCATCTCTGAACAGGTTGATTAGAAAAATAGGGTAAAAGCTGCTGCTGACTGACAACGTTGCAATCCTATACTAGGGAAATAGAACACCTGAGCGAACTAGGATCTGTCATTCACAAATGCAGTACTGTAGGCCTCAGGACAAAAGTGGACAGGAAGAGAGAGGTCAGGATTCCACAGAAAGCGAGCAGCTCTCTTGGCAGACCTTTAATGGAAGGTGAGCAGATTGCTAGGGAGTTAAATTCCCAGAGTCTGGCCCTGAGGCTCTAGCAGCAATGTTCCCTGGCATTTAAAGGCCTCACCTTTGTGATCAAAGTCAGAGGATACATCTTCATGTGTCGTCTCCAAGCTACTACACCACCACTCTTTCAAGGTGCCCATTGCACCATACTTCCATCTCTCGCACAGCAACACTCCCTAGCACACAGGTCTCTCTTTCTGAACAGCCAATTCATGTTCACACACTTTCCACTGACACCAGGCTCACATCTCTCTCTCATTGACTCCACCTATTTCCAGCTATTCAGCTGCAGCAGATATAATACTCAAATACAATGTAGCACGGTTACTGACATTCGTCTCTCTTTCCTGCAGAACAAACTGGCACATGACAGAAGGGGACAGCAGAGAATTGGCATGGGCCAGGCATGCTCTCATTCACTGACCCCAATGAATGAAATATGCTCTGAAACATGGATCTGAGGTTGATGGAGCCTATTGAATCCAGCGTCACTGAGATATTTCTTTATTACACTAGATTTGACACATTTCTTGAGCAGCACCATCCTTCATCTGCCATGAAGAACAAATTGCAGATGGTACAAGTATAGACATCTTTCCTTCCTCCCTACCACCTCTGTCTCAACCCAATCCTCCTCTCTGATTTTCTGCTGTCAGCCACTGAGATGATGTCGCTTTCCTAGCCTCAGCACACCCAGGAGGAAGAAAAAGAGTGACACTCCACTAGAAAACCCTGTGACCAGATCTGACAACCCCAGCCGCCCTGTCAGGTACTGCCACTGCATATACAGCAGAGGCCAGCATGGAGTGGAGATCCAAAAGAGATGAGTGCCTGCAGCCCAAACCAGAAGGAAGGGATGACATGTATATAGCTTATTGCGGGATTCATTCATATTTTAATGTTTCTGTTTCTGTACCAGATGAAGGCTTTAATTATCGATCAGAGAAGGCAATCCACTCTATTTACTGAATTGGTTAAGGTTCTTATTCCATTATTATTTTAGGTTACATCAAGTAGTTTATCTGGTTCAGGTATAACTTAATACAGTTCTTATTTGTCTCTGGTCTAAGTTTAAACTACCACTTTAATTCAAAAAAATCTTGACTTACCAACAAATCACCTATCTGCTTATATAACTAGTGCCTGTTCTAGGGTCTTGATGTCTCACATTCCCTCTCTCAAACCACTCCTTGTTTTGTAAAGCACCAGAACAGCACTTCTTCCTGCACTGCACCAAATTCAGTTACTCACCTAATTCATTGATTTACATGTGTTGTAGAAACAGAACTCTATTGGCTTTGTGCTTCTTACTAACATTTCCCTTGAATTAAATCTCATAGAAGCATTTAACTACTTCTTCCATCCCTAAGTTGTACACTCAGGTCATAAGTTGAAAATCTATTACCATACCAAAGCATTTTCCTTCATTCTTTGGATGCTATACTTTTAGCAATACTGTTCTCATATGCCATCTAGTGGAAAAATGTTATTATTACAAATCTGGATTATAAATAGTATGCAGTGTAACCAGAATTTGTTTCAGTTTTCACAAATGAAGGATTAAATAAATGGAATGTGGGATCCACACAGCACTAAATGTTCATGTATTCCTTGTAATAAATGTGGAATTCAATATTTCATTATGATAAGCCTCAAGTATGGCACCATGAAATACTATTTATTTGGGGTGATAAGACAGTGTGGAGCTGAAGGAACACAGCAGGCCAGGCAGAATCAGAGGAGCAGGAAAGTTAACGTTTCGGGTTGGACCCTTCTTCAGAAGACTATTTCCCTGTCATTTTCCAAAGTCAGAATTCAGATTTTGAGTCTGATGGTCCCACTAGGTTTTCAGTCCAGTTGAGGTCTTACGTAAACTTAAGGGTTGGAGGCCAGAGCAAATTTTGTTCAAGACTGGTTATGCAATCACAGATACAGCCGTGCTGGTATCAACCTCCTTTAGAACCAGGTAATCATTTAACGTGACGCTTATTTTGTCTAGTTCTAATTTAGGTGTTACTAAGCAATTTAACTGTTTGAAGCCAGATGTAGGTGTGCTTCTTCTGGATATTGTTCAGTGAGTTATCTTATTGAGATGGGTATTTCCTAAAGTCAGATGGCATTCAGCATATAAAGACTGCTCTATGCCATCAATCGTCCAATGTTCTGGCAGAATGAGCAGTCCAAACTTTGAAGGCAGGCTTAAAGAAAAAACCTACAGATTCACTCGATACCAAACTTCCAGGTTCCTATTTGATCATCAGATCACCCCTTGTGCAACTACAGGGATAGCTCCAGCAGAGTTGCTAATGGGGAGAAGACTCTGCACCAGGTCAAATCTGATCTTCCCGGGCCTGGGACGGGGGTCAGGTGTTGTGGGGAGATGGGGGGAGATGTGGTGAAATGGTGTCAGGAACGCCAATGCCCGACACAAGAGTGAGTGAGAGACTCAGTTTACTTCAAAGGACGAAATTTAGTGCTGAAACCATGGAAATGGCCCTGCATCCCTGTAAGAGGCATGGTCAATGCGAGGTCAGGTCCCATGACGTACAAAGTTCAGGTAGGTGAGGCAGTCCTGAACAAGCACATGGACAACATGAAAGCTGCAAACAGGGCAAGAGCAAATCATACGTGGCCTCTCAGAACAACTGGAAAGGTTATTCGAACCCATGGATTCTCCTCCTCCATCTAGTGTCAAAGAAACCCCAGAGTCTGAGATGGACACCGTGGATGTTGCAGCCTCAACACCTCTACTGCCTGAAGAAGAGGATGAATTTCTTCCAAGACACTCCAGGCATAAGAGGCAGGCTACACTCCTGTACATTCCATCCATAACACAGGCTGAGTCAGAGTAACTGGACCCGGTGCAAAGATGCTCCAGGACAGGTTAAAAGAGGAAGAACAGACCTACATCCCTGCACTTCGACGGGGCGTGATATAGTGGTTACAACAAGGTCAGCCAGGTGGATCTCACAGAATATAAGTTCTTTTTTTGTGGCTGTTAACCTGGTCCAATCAGGGAGCCCTGGCTGACAGATATAAAAGGGAGTGTCTACAAATAAAAGGGTGACTTGGTGATGGGATACCTACTTCTGAGGAGTTGTTGTGACTTAGGCCCTGCCTTGCGACTGTGTAAAAAAAATAAACAGGAGTGTCAGGGGTTCTGTTCACTCTGCAAGCTTGCTCTGAGGAAGCCAGTCGTGTCCAGTACCATGCATGTGTAAACCTACTCATGGGAGGTTAGGCAAGGAATTTTAAAATCTTCATGCTGTAACACCAATAGCTAGATTCCCCTTTGCTTCGAATAACGCAGTTCAAATTTTAGCTTCTCCTTAACAGAGTGATCATCTCCTCCGCAAGGTCCCAGTTACCATTCAACACCTGCCATGTGTTTGAGCATATGTATTTCCCGGACTTGCTGGAACCAGTTCCCAAGTACTAACCTCATTAATAGTCAATTTTTAATCTGTTGAAACATAATGCTCTTCCCCAGTCATGAAGCGTTGGCAGACCCTTTTAATCAGGAACCAACCTGTAATTAACTTCCAGGCCTGACCCTTCATGAATAAATAGAAGCTTGTTTGAGCTGCTCTCCTCTTAACACAAGCTGTTACCTACAATGCAAAAGTCATCTTTAGCTCACAGTTCCCAGTTCACAGTTCCAAAGCAAAATTTATAAAAGAATTAAACTGAAACAATGAAAAATCAGTGAGGGCTCAAACAATTATATTTCATCTTTTCAATTACATTTTGCAAACAAAACATATGATTGTGATATACACTTTAGAATAAACTTTAAAAATATTAAGAATTATTGAAATTATTACAATAATTGAAAAAGTGGAATTACACAAATATGAAATGAGTCTTCAAAAGGTTAGTCATAAATTGTTATTAATTAGGGTTTGCTAAAACCCAATTATGCCTCATTAACAAAAACATTTTCGGGCAGTGGGTGCAGGTTGGACAGCAATATTGACATATAAAACAAGATGTTTCCATCAGGTCAATGATTTCTAACTGAATGAAGCCTATTAAAACTCCAAAAGTGTACCCTCTGGATGAGTATCAAGTCATTGACAGCAACTTGAATTTCTGTATTGAACTGAGTATACGCAGCATCCATAAGTTGTTGTCAGCTTCAGAGAAAAGAGAGACTTGCATTTATACAGTAATTTTCAAGACCACTGGATAACTCAAAACACTTTACAGCTAATTTTTCAACATAGTCACTGTTATAATGTTGGAAACTAAAGTAGAAAGAAAAGAGGACCAATAATGGAGAACACCAATAGTTTCACTATCATGACAACAACAAACTTTTGTCTGATGAGCAGAGCAAAATCTCCTCTATTGTCCCTAACAAAAGGAAAAAGCTGCATTTTTCTTTTCCACACCAGCTGTCATCTGGTCTCAGTTGCCACGACAGATTGCAGAATAAATTTATATTTCTACATGAAGATCACCAAGTCAACAAGGCTTTGTGTGTTCCCTAGTTTTGTAACGTTATGTGAACATAATTTGAACACATTGTACTGAATTACTGTCAGTGTACTATTGGTGGAACAGTTTATAAAGTGAATCAAATAGTGCATCATCAGTGGAGAGATTAAAGGAGAGATTATGAGCTATGAAGATGGTTCTTTGCTATGCTCCCAAGTTCTTCTACCATACTAGAATACAAAAGGCAGCAGGATTCTACATTATAAAAAGCATAATTGGTACTGGGCCGTCTGTGGTAAAACCTTAGCAACAGCAGGCACAATATCATAAGTTTTCAACTGTTGGTAGAAATAAAGGTTTTGAATACCTATTATTAATTTCAAACTTCAACAGGGCTACTTTAATAGAATGGCAGATTTGAAACATGTAAGTTTGATAAATCTACTAGGTGATCTTAACTGATGTATAGTATAAATGTCAATTTTTTAAAAGTAACTATAGACACATGGACCACATGCATCTCCCAAATCAATTGGAAATGTAAAATGGATGACAGGTCACAGACAAAAGGTGATAAGAGGAATCAGAAGTGTTTTTCTTCATCTGAAAATATATAAGACACAAAAAACAAATATCAGTGTCAAACTATTTGGAAATTTTATTGCTCAACTGTTCTGTGTTTGAGTATTATTTGATTATTTAATAATGTGCTAACTCATATGCAAAGAAGGAGGCTAACTTTTATTTGTATCTTGAATCTGTTTCATCTCCTTAAGGATTCTCTGGTGGATACCATCTGGACCTGCAACAAAATATGTTTTAATGCTCCTTACACTCTTCAATATCTGTCATTCCCTGTAAGTAACTGTGTATCTTTTAATGGACTAACGCAGTCTTTCGTATTCCCTGAATTAAGTTAACTTCCATTAACTTTGAGACTCCTGATAGATCAGCTCGAGTTATTTCTGAGATGACATATCAGTTTCCATGCGTGTTAGAGAAATTTATTCATGGTGCTTTAAAATGTCCTCTCTATGCTTACAGCTGTAGATTCCAGAATCTTCTAGATTTATTTTCTTTTCCACACTCAGGATTAATTAATCAAGCAGAGTGAAAATTGATAATAAATAAGAGCAGAGAAGCAATATTGGTAGGGGATTGTTTAGTGAGGGGAATAGACAGGCACATTTGTGGCATAAATGTGATTCTGGGTTAGTGTGTTGCCTCACAGGTATCAGGGTCAAGGATATTATGAAATAGCTGCAGAACATCTGAAGCAGGGAGGGTGAGAAACCAGAGCTCAAGGCCCATGTAGGGACCACTGATTTAGGAAGAAACAGAAATAAGGTCCTGCAAGCAGCCTTTAAGGAGTTAGGTAGGAAATTGAAAAACAGGACTTCAAAGGCAATAGTCCCCAGATTACTCCCAGTGCCACACAGTAGCTAGAATAGGAATAGGAAAGGACAGGTGATTGTGTGGCTGGAGAGATAGTGCAGGAGGGAGGACATTAGATTCCTGAGGCATTGGGACTGTTTCTGGGGGAGGCAAAAACTGTACAAAATGTATATCCAAACAGGAACAGGTCAACATCCTTATGGTAGGGTTAACTCATATTGTTGTGCAGATTTAAACTAGATTTGCATGGCAATGAGACCCTGACAACAAGTTCAGAGGGAGGAGAGGTTGCGATGGAATTAGAAATTAAAACATGAGTATGTTAGTCTGAACGGCAGGAGTAAGATAGAGTAGGTGATAAGTGAGTTTTTAGTAATGCTAAATGGAATACATTTTAATGCAAGGAGCCTGTTAATACAGATCAGTTGAGGGCACAGATAGGCACATAGGAGTATGATATCATTGCTATGACTGAGACTTGGCTGACATAGAGACAAGATTGACAGCTCAATATTTCTGGTTATAGAATATTCAGACAAGATAGAGAAGGGAAGAGAAGAGGAAGCATTGTCATAATATTGATCAAGAAATTAATTATAACAGTGAGGGAGGATCTTATCTTCGAAACGTTGTCAAATGAAGCCATTTGGGTAGAAGTTAAAAAAAAAAGCAAAAGGAGCAAACACACTGTTTCAGCCAATACTGCAAGTTTGCCATCCCCTGGCTCTTCAATCTTGATGAAGGTTACTAACAGATTTTTTAATGCCGTCTGTGATGAGGATTTATAATATATTTGAAGATTTGGATAATATATTTGAAGATACAGTATTTGGATTGAATGTGAAGGACAGATGAAATTTAGATGGGATGTAGATTATCAAGCACTGGGGATTTATTGCTTTCAGCCCCATTAATTTCTCAGGCACTATTCTTTTTATAAATATTAATTCCTTTTAATTCTTCCTTCCTAAAAGCCCTTGTTTCTATAGCATCTCTGGGAAGTTATTTGTATCTTCTTTTGTGAAGACTGTTATGTCCCAGACCAACACCCATCCCCCAACTTCCTCAAAATAAAGTAAGGATATAGCCTAGACCTAATTTTTATATTTATTTAAAGAGCAAGAATCCAGCACTAAGCTTTGAGCAAAACACACTTTATTCTTACAGCATAATTAAAATACAAATGAAAAAAAGAACTGGCTTATCTAACCTGCTGAAATACTTGACAAGATAATGTATAATTTAACCACCAACCATCAACTGTTCCAAGAAAAGCAGCATCCCATAAATACACTCACACAGTTCTGAGGAAGAGTCACCAGACCCGAAACTTTAACTCTGTTTTTTCCTTCACAGATGCTGCCAGACCTGCTGAGCTTTTCCAGCAACTTTGTTTTTGTTCCTGATTTACAGCATCTGCAGTTCTTTCAGTTTTTATCCCATAAATACACGCTTGGCAAGGACAATTTAGCAAAACTCTCACATACTGTTTTTCTTTTACATTTTGCATAGAGAAGGTCTCAGTCCACATTAATGTTGAAAGTTTATTGTCTTATTGTTGTTTTCGCTCCTAATCAATCTCTTGGTACTTATTTCCTGCTCAAAGTCATCAGGCATGCTATTTCTTGTGCAACTTCATATGATTCTTCCATGGATCTATGACATCTGTAATTTATATTGTTAAACATGGTTTAGTCACTTTTCCTGTTGCATTCTTTTGCCTATTCACTCTTTAAACATTAACCATTGCCCATCCACTATCAGCAATTTTAATGAAGTTACCCAGTCTATCACAACCAACTCATTCTTTCATACTTTTGCAGTTTCCTTTGATTAGATTTGGGACTCGACTTTTGGACTAATTCACTTTCTATACCAATGAAGAATTCTATCATGTTATGGCCAGTTTTCCTAAAGAATCTCTCACAAGATTAGTTAATCCTTTAGTTAAACCAAATCTAAAATAGTCTGCCCCCTAGTTGATTCTTCAATGTACTACTCTAAATATCCATCTTGTATACACAGCAGGAAATTATCTATCACAGTATTATTGCTAATGTGGTTTGCCAGTCTATACGTAGATTTAAATCATCCATGATTATTGTAACACTCTTGCTGTATGCATCTCTAATTTCATGTTTAATACCATCCCCACCTCATCACTACTGTTTGGAGGCCTATAGCCAAGTCTTACTTTTGTTTTCTATACCTGTCGCTTCTTAGCTCCGCCAAGACTGCTTTCACATCTAGATTTCCTGCATCAATATCCTTTCTCACCTTTGCACTGGTTTTGTATTTCAATGACAATGCCACCTCCTTTTCTGTTTTACCTGTCCTTCCTAAATAGCCTTGGATATTCAGTTGCCAATCTTGGTCACCTTGCAGCCATGTCTCCATAATCACACTTGCATCGTATCCCTGTACAACTATTTGTATTATAAATTCATTTACCTTATTGTGAATGCTTTGGATATTCTAATGTAGTGCATTTACTTCTCTTTTTGACATTTTTAGACATTTTACTTTATACTCCAATTGTGTCTGCTGCCTTTCACTTTTGCTTTTTATTTTTCTATCTTTCATTTCCACCTTTGTTTTGGCTTTCAACTCCCCAAACAATTCTCACCCCCTGCCACTATAGTTTAAACCCTCTCCCCACTGCGTTAGTGAGTGATATTGATCCCAATCTTGCTGAAGTCCAATCTGTCCAACTCCTATTTTCACCAGAATCCATCTCAGTACCTCAAAAATCTAAATTCGTCCTTACCACACCATCTCTCTAGTCATGTATTCGTTCAGTTCATTCTCCTATTCCTGACCTCGCTAGCATTTGACACTGGGAGTAATCCCGAGATTATTATTTTTAAGGTCCTACTTTTCAATTTATTCCCTGACTCCCTATATTCTGTTTGAAGGATCCCATCCCACTTTTTACCTATGTTGTTGGTACCTGCATGGACTACAACTTCTGGCTGTTCACCTTTCCACTTCAGAATGTCCTGCAACCATTCAGTGTTATCAAAGAACAGTGCAGCATAGGAACAGGCCCTTCAGCCCACTGAGCGTGTGCCGAAACATGATGGTTTTTGAAACTTTTGCCTCTACACAGTCTGTATCCTTCTATTCCCTGCCTATTCACATATCTGTCAAGATGCTTCTTAAACATTAATATTATACCTGCTTCTACCACCTTCTCTGGCAGTGCATTCCAGGCACTTGCCACACTCTATTTAAAAAAAAAATTCCCTTTCAAATCTTCTTTAAACATTTCCCCTTTTACCTTAAACCTATGTCCCCTAGTGATTGACATTGCCACCCTGGGAAAAAAAAGAGAACCCATTCTATCCAGTCTCCTCACAGCTAATACCCTCCAAACCAGACAACATACTGGTATATCTTTTCTGTACCCTGTCCAAAGTCTCCATATCTTTCTGGTTGTGTGATAACCTGAACCGTATACAATATTCCAAATATAGCCTGACTAAAGTTCTATACAGCTGCAACATGACTTGCCAACTTTCATACTGTACACTCTGACTGGTGAAGGCAAGTATGCCACACACCTTCTTGACCACGTTATCCATTTGTATTGCCATTTTCAGGGAACTGTGGACCTGTATGCCTCCATCCCTCTGTATGTTAAAAGTTCTACCATTTCCTGCATATTTCCCTCTTGCATTAGATCATCCAAAATGCATCACCTCGCATTTGTCTGGATTAAATGCAATCTGCCATTCTTCTGTCCAATCTATATCATGCTGTACCCTCTGGCAATCCTCCTCACTATCCACAGCTTCCTCATTGTGTCATTCGCAAACTTACTAATCAAACCAATTACATTTTCCTCCAAATCGTTACAAACTGCAGGGGGCCCAGCACTGATTCCTGCAGAACACCACTGGTCACAGATCTCCAGTCAGAAAAGTACCCTTCAACCGCTACCCTCTGTCTTTTATAACCAAGCCAGTTCTCTGTGGACCCCATGTGGCTTTACCTTCTGTATCAGTCTGCCATAGGGACCTTGTCAAAGGTCTTGCTAAAGTCCATATGGACAACAGTCACCACTTTACCCTCATCAATCATCTTTGTCACTTCCTCATAAAACTCAATCAAGTGTGTGAGACACGACCTCCCCCACACAATGCCATGCTGCCTGTCAATAATAAGTTGATATGTTTCCAAATGTGAATAAATCCTGTTTTTAAGAATCTTCTGTAATAATTTTCGTGTCACTGATATATGTCTCATCAGTTTAATCAATGTAATTTCTGAATTATCCCTGTTGCTCTTCTTAAACAAAGAAACAATTTTCCAGTCCTTTGGGACATTGCCGATGACTAGGGGGGATAGAAACATTTTGTGCAAGGCCCCAGCAATTTCCTCCCTCACCTCCGTCAGTATTCTGGGATAGAATATCCTTGGCCCCGATACTAGGGAGGCAACATACCATTCTGGTGTCACATCTGCAGCTGCAGAAATGTCTAACTGTTCTGTCTATGATAATTTCTTATCAGCATTGCTCTCGCACTGTATTTTTTCTCCCTTCCTATGCAGCTGAGCCACTCCTGCAGCTACAGACTTGGCTCTTGCTGCCTTCCCTTGATAAATCTTCACCTCCAACAATATCCAAAATGGAAAATGCATTAAACAGAGATACTCCCAGGGGATCCCTGCACTACTTGACTGCATTAGACAGAGATAGTTCCAGGGAATCCCTGCACTACTTGCTCTGGTGGTTGCCCATTCTGTTTCTTCCTATGCTGTATTTGCTATCTCAGCCTTGCATATACTCCACAGTGACTCCTGCTATCTGCTCTAGACCCGGGATATGGATTTCTAGCAGCTGCAACTGGAGACACTTCCAGCACAGGTGGTGACCTTGAATTGTCCCTGAGTTCCGATGTTGCACAGAAGCATTCCACTGAGCCAAGCCGCCTTGTCATGATATAACCTTAAATTACTCTCTTTCTACTTACTTCTTCTAGTTGAAACAATATCAACTACATAGCAGGGATCCTTATTCCTTATGATTTAAACTCTCAAACTAAACTAAAATATGTTATTAACTTTACTACCAAATTTATACCATGTTAAAATTTAAGAATAGAAAAAGCTTAATCACTTACCAGAAACTCACCAAACAGTTTCTCTCTCTGCAATAGAGCAAAAATCTCTTCTAATCAGCTCCAATGAATCTAACTGTTTCTGACTGTGAGCCATAGATCCTAATTTTACCTACTCTTCTTCATGATGCTGGCTGTCTGCAATAGCGTCTTCACCTCACCCACTCTTCTGCTCCACCATTTCATTCTGGCTTTGACTTGTCCAATATTGCCATTATCTGGGACCACAACACCTCCAATAATTTTCCGACATGTGGCTCCATTTAATCACTTCTCTTCATTTAGATTTGGCTTCAAAGCAATTTTTACTTCTTGAAGTATCGTTTTCCTAGAGCCGGTGGAATTTGGACCTGGAATTGAAAATCATTAACTAAATAAGGCCATGTATGAAATATCTGCTATTTTAATTGGGTTTCTGGTGTGTCTTACAATGGCACAAATGAGAATAAAACTTTTTTTTGCTTGAAGATGAAAATTTATGATACAGAAGACCACCATTCAAACAATCGAGTTTATCCTGTCACTCTCTGTGTGAAAAATCTCCTCAACTCTCCTCGCCTGCTGCTTTAAATTACTTTAAATCTACGTCCTGGCTATTGACATGTCAGCTAAAGGAAGTAGATTCTTCCTATCTGGGTACCTCACAATTTCAAATACCTGGACTAAATCTCCCTTCTGCCTCCTCCATTGCAAAGAACACAATCAAATATTTCCTCATAATTAAAATTCTCAATTTCCTCAGAAATCTCTTCTATACACTCTCTAATGAAGTATTCCTTTCTGGATTGTAGTGGGTCAGCATTCCAACTGTGGCATAAGTGGTGTTTTATGCAATTCTATAATACTCTTTTTAATCTTATATTCTATGCATTGGGTATTAAAAGAAGTTATCCTTCAAACCTTCTTAACTTCTTTATCTGTCTATCCTGCTACTGTCAAGGATCTGTGGACATATATTCCAAGGCATTCAACATCCCAGAATTTTATTTATTATGAATTCCCTTGTCTGTCTGCCTTTCTCACATGATCTCACACTTTTCCAGATTGAATATCATTTGCCACTTTTCTCATCATCTCATCACTTGATGGATACATTTTTGTAGTTTTCTTTAACATAATTGAACCATTTGTTTTGCAAACATTTGAATTATATCTACTATATTTGTCAAAGTGATTGATATGTCCACATTTGCAAAGTTCGATTAGAAACAGCCTTCCAATAAAACCTGGCACTATGGACCATTTGGATCGTGCCACCAAGCCAGTTTGGAAATGGTCTGTTTTTTTTTTCCTATTGGGTCCCACACTCTTAATTTTCTGAGTAGTCTATCATGTAGAACCTTATCATAAGCCTTGCTAAAGTCCTTCTACAAAACATCAAATGTGTTGCCTTCGTTAACTTTCCCTGATGCCTCTTCAAAAAATTAGATCAAGCTAGTCAGGTTTGGCATAACAAGGTGTAGAGCTGGATGAACACAGCAGGCCAAGCAGCATAAGAAGAGCAGGAAAGCTGATGTTTCGGGTCTGGACCCTTCTTCAGAAAAGAAGGGTCATTTCTGAAGAAGGGTCTAGACCCGAAATGTCAGCTACATTGAAGGGAGTTGTCTTGAGGTGCTTACAAAAGGTGATGTAGCATTGAGCCCAATCACTAATCTGCTGATGATGTTGTGCTTTTCAACACCTAGCCATCAGATAAACAGTCGCCTCATGGTTTTTTTGAATTGTGAGGAATCACAAATGTTCCTTCTCCTTTGAGTTTACTGTGCTCCAGAATAGTTTGGAGTATTTTGGTTCTGGTTGTTACTTGTAAACTTCAACTCTGAATTCACACAGATAATCAGTGACAGTTAAGAAAGCTCTTCACAACTGCCACTGCTATTATCCCCCACCTTTTAATAACTCCTAACTGTTACCGACTAGTTGCCACCAAGTGTGATTTCTGGGTAAAATACCACCACTAACCTGGTCTGGTCTATGGCATACTAGAGTATGGTGTGTTAGCTCTTGTAACAAATACTTGATGACCAGATTCTGGTTGAGACAGGTATCTTGAAGTTTATGAACTACACTCCACACACTGGTGTAAGATCTCAGACCTACCCGCTAGTTTGTGTTCTGTGTTTATTGATGGTATAGACAATAATTGCAAGATACTACTAAAATTACTACTTTACTGAAGGTGACATGGTTACATTTATACTGGAACATCAAAATCATGAATCATTTCACTGCCTTCTTGATCTGAGATCTAGACAATAACACAATGGGAAATAAAAGATATTTCAAAGGCAGAATGTGCAAGAGGCTCACACTAACACCAAGTTGGAACTTCCCCATTTCAAATCAAAAGTCAACTGCTCAATAACTTCACAAAATTGCTGTTGCTGGATACAAAGTGAGTGGATAAAGTTTTTTTTTTCTCTTTCTGCATTCAGTAGAAAACTTTTTTTTTATTTTAAGGCCTTCCTAGAGACAATTGGCGCAATCAACACAGCTTCAATTCCATTAGCCCCAGTTGGCTCCTGACCTCATTCTAGATATGGATAAAAGAGCTGAATTCCAGAGGTGAGGAGAGAGTGACTGCCCTTGACATTAAGGCAGAATTTGACTGAACATGGCATCAAGGGGACCTAGTAAATGAAGTAAATGTGAA